TTATGAATCTGCTTTTGTGTACCCTGTCCGGGCAAAGTTGGCCCAGTGTTTCATGATCTTCTTGGTCATGTTTACTTCATTCTTCGTGTATCCCAGGGATGCATCCAGAGGCTTTCCGAAGACAAATTCTATCTCATAACCGTGCATAACACCCATCCATGCTGGCCAAGGATTGATGGATGACCGGTGGTCGAATAAATATAGGAAAGTCTTACCACCATGTTGCGAGTACCTGGCAAAAACAAATTACAATAATAAAATGAGTCAGGTTCATTAGAGAAAATAAAACACAAACACATGTAACAACCTTGAGAAATTAGATTTGACTGTTCCTATTGTTCAGGATGTTGTGTAATGTAATGTGAGCCAAACCATCTAGTTGGACATGACAGTAAGGCGTGTTCAGACTGACAACAGCGCTGTATGAAAAAATGCAGCCCCCTCATTCATTTGAAGAGGAGTACTGCATTGAAGCAGTGAGGCGATGCAAAGGGCTCTCACAGAAAAACAAATCAAAAAACCAAAAACAAATGCAGGATCGTCCAGTAACAATTGCATAGCTTAATTTAAACTGCAATGCAATGCAACCTTATCCCGAAAGCCTCTGCATTGGCCCATCAAATACCAATGTGAGAGCACATTTCTGGTAGATTATTTCTAATGTGAACATGCTATTTCTACTTCACTTCTCTTGTGCTCATCGTGATCAAATGATTGCCAGTGTGTTTGGCGTCAAACCCAGGGATTACTCAAACTGGGCTTCCTGGATTGTCAAAGATTGTCACATGCACAAATAACATGTCTAGTTGAATGCAATGTGGCTTGCCCCTAAGGTCAAGCTGGAAATCTAGAGTGAGAGGATTAGAAAATCATATATAAAAGATATGACAACTATGATTGACAATTAAATTATAAATATATATTAAAAAAGTAAAACGTACATGTGTCACAAGTCTAAATATGCAATCTGCAGGGCAGCGCAAAGGATTCACTGAAGAAAATGTGGCAGAAGTCAGAGTCAGTCAGTCAGTTTACCATCCTCGTGGCCTGAGGAGATAATATTTTTCTTCTCTCCTTTTGTCTCTGTGTTGGACTTGTGGCTACAGAGCCACAGAAGCTGAAAATAGTCTATTGCTGGGGTCGTGACAGTCCTTCATAATCTACTAGCTTTGGATCTGCACCTTCTGATGTACACGAACAAGACGACCCCACCAACGCAGCCCTGTGCATTTTTTCTTTTTGGTCTGAACATCAGGTTACAGATAAAACTTTTACTACCCTAACGCACTACCTTTATTGGCTTTAACTTTGTTGAAAACTAAAACCTTCCTTCTCAGTCAAATTCCATCAACTTATGTGGTCATTCATCATGTCCTAAATGTCAAAAGTGCTCTTTACCTGTGAGTGAACTCTAGCAATGGACAAACGAACAGTCCGTCTCCAACCAGGTAACCCATTGAGTCCCGATTTTTCATCCGGTTGTTCTCATCTGTCCAATCAGTGTACTGGAAAATGGCCGCTTCTCTGGAGACATCACTCGCATCTGTCATTGTAAGGTTCACTCCATTCAGAAACTCATTCCTGGAGATGAGACTCTGACCGGTGATGTTAAATCCAGGTACTCCATACAAAAGGAAGTAGGTCCCTTCATCAGTGTTTAAGCCTAACAGCACCTCTTTCTTTGGGAGCTTACTGGTACTCAGCAACACCTGCAAGGAAAACAAAAAAAGTGTTTGTGATGCCAGATATTTTCCAAACTATGGATTGAAATAAAACTTATGTTAAAAAATACAGGATGGGATTGCAACATTTTTGTGTTGAGCCAAATAACACTACGGTAATAACACCAGTGAGCTTAGTTTTGATGGTTGGCTGAAACCCAGACAAACTGAGTTAAAGTCAAGGTTTGTTTGACGTCTTGTAGGTTACATCATATAAATATTATGTCGACTGTATTTCATCGTGTATGTCCATGTGTGAAAGTTTTTAAAAGGGTAGTATCTAGGACATATTGTAATTAAAATTCAAAATGAAAAAGCTTTGAGGGATTGACATTTGTTACATTTATATTTTATCCGAAATAAACTAAAACCATGTTTCATGTTCACCAGGCACTTTCACACTTATTGACAACTCCACATACCCGCACACACACACACCTACTTCGACATTATCTGGTAGGAAGTCTCTGTCAACAACAGGGCCAAAGGCTAAGGCTAAGATTGTAGGGTGCGTGAGAACATCATTTTGCTTCGCTGTGATTTTCCCAGGATCAGCCTGCTGCAGACACGCTTCCAGATGAGCTGCATTAGACGTGGGACACCCCAGTAACGTCGCCAGCTTTGAGGACCTGGATATTGCCATAGTGCGGGAGCAATCAGTGACAGAAGGAATGACAGTAAAAGACTAGGATAGCAAGGCTAAGAAGGGGAGGCGGTTGTGGATGAAAGAGTGTGAATGCAATTAGAAGGAGAAGCAATGTATTGAAAACCTTTGACCAATCACCATGTGTATATGTGGATGATATTGATCAAATTTAGCAGGACGCAAATTGTGTTATATGACACTGTTCTCTCTGGAACATTAAATATTGGTACCCTGTGAGTCCCCATTTGTGTTAATGCTATTTTATGTGTGTGAACGCTAACTGATCATGACAGAGCATGTATCGTATTTATTTAATGTTGCAGCTTCAAACAATCAATAAGACAGTAAATACAAGTGTGTCCTTACATATCACATGAGTGACAGAGGGAGAGAAAAGATGAGCGACTAAATAAATCAAATTAATTAATGACTAAATGAATGCACCCTACCTGTACCAGGCCTCAGTCTGATGGGTTGTGGCCCAGGGTGAATTAGGAGAGCCACTCTGCATCACAGCCCTTTGAAAAAGACCATGGCTGCCTGGTGAGAGCAAGTGGAAGCCCACAGATGCTGATCCAGCACTCTCCCCAAACAGAGTCACCTAGAAACAACAGGAAATCACAAGCCAACAGCTTATTTTATTGTTTGTTTAAACAATATAAACATGATCACATGTCACCTGTGATCTGATTTTAGAATGCAAGACAAAAACATTTTACCTTTGAAGAATCACCTCCAAAATCAGCAATATTATTGGCTACCCATTGGAGGGCCAAGCGCTGGTCCAGCAGGCCCGCATTGCCCCGAATGTTCTTGTTGTCAGGAAGAGACAGGAAACCCAAAGGTCCGACTCTGTCATGGATGAGCACAATAATAAGGTTGACATCATTTAACTGGAGATAAATAGCACAATTACTTACTCTCTACTCTAAACGAGTAGAGAGAAGGGTATCGGACATGGTGATAAGGCTTTCCTGTTTATAAATTCCTTTGCTCTGTTTAATGCACCCAAAATAGCTTATCTTAGTTTTACACAACGTCTGTGTATATTTCCAAATCATCATTAGTTGTCAATGAGTTCCCAGTTCCATACAGTAACTATATCCACTCTTTATTGGCATTTTATATTTTTAGTTTACTCCAGTTCTTACCTGTAATTCATTGATACCACAACAACACCTTCAGATTTACTCAGGAAACGACCATCATAAATGTCCAGAGAGGATGTTCCTACAGTGAACCCGCCGCCATAAATCCAGACAAGGACAGGAGCCAGTGCTTTCTGTGTTTTGTTGAAACGGGGGGACCAGACGTTTAGGTACAGACAGTCCTCACTCAGAGGAGTGTTTGGGTTCCACATCTCTGCACCTTTGAACCCTAAAAAGAATGATTGTATGAAGCTGTTTCAATAGAGACTGATTGGGACAGCAGTCTAATAACTGATAGATGTAGTGTAGATGATAGTGTTATTTTTGTTCCCTCAGATCTTTAGAGTGAGAGAAAGTTCGACTTAATTATGACACTTAATTACAAGCAATATTAATAGTCAAACAGTTAGGCAGTTAATAATAATTAAATAAATCCATGGTTTGTTTTCCTCTTAATGAGTGTTTTGTCCAAAGCATAAACAACAGTCTAACATCAATACCTTCTGTCCATATCTGTTTGTGTTGTCATATCTATATTTGGATATTTTTTGGCATTTCCTCTGCCTGGTGTCCTTGCTAATGGTCGTAGCTGACATCCAATCAACCCCTGACAGGTGGCTATGTCTATAAATAGCTATGTATCCATCACCCAAACCCAATTCTTCTCTTGGGTGGGGGACCAAGCCTGTATCAAATCATATTAGTGTATGTATGCTTATCTAATTTTTTGACATGGCAATGGCCGTGTGTGTAGATGCAGTGGCCGGTAGCTCCTTTAAACTTTACATTTTTGTTTTATTCAATATTTTTGTAATCTTAATTGCTGGAAACATCATTGAATGATGTCTGATTGTGTTTGGTTTATAATGGCTATGCCAAAATTGATTTTGGCTGTGCATTCAGATGCTGATAGGCTAGCTCTTTCAAACTTGTCTGTTTTTCCATTTTTTTTTAAAAGGTATTACCTATGACAGAAATACCCTACAGGGACCTTGAGACTATCCATCCAGCCAGATTAACCAGCCCACGGCGGCGGGTGCTCTTGCTCCAGGAGGAGAGGGAAGAGAGCCACATAGGAACCATGCAGGCTGCTCCCGGCTAATGTGTATTCTGGACGAAATGGGACTCATGTTGGCCAAACAATAGAACATCAGAGACTGCCCACATATTTACAGAGACTTGCTCCATCAACATCCGGGATCAAACACTCGACGGGCAGGACGTATTTGGAGGCAACAAAGCACAGCACAAGGAGGTGGACTGATCATACACAGTCAAAGTGGATGGACATTGTTTCCTTTTATGTGTAGATGAAATAATACTATCATCACTATCTCGTTGCTGCTGTTTACATTCCCCCAGACACAAAAAAAATGCACTGTAGAATTATTTCCTGGGCGGGTACAGTCCTTCCTTGGTTCACCAAACTGCCAAGTTTGTTTATTTTAGTTTATGGAGGGATAAAGTAAATACAGAAAAACACGCCCCCATGGCGGAATGGGAAGAATGGGAAAATTGATTGACAATAAAAAAGTAATACTACTTAAATTAAATAAAGTAAGAGTAATGGTAATGGCTAGTGGAAGCATTTCACTGCTGGAAGTGGTGTCCTAGTTCTTTGCTCATGAAATTATTCCCAGGCCACACAGACCAAGAATTAAATAGAAATTTACTAGTAGCCTAATTAATTTCAATGAACCCAACTGCCCAATTTATATCAAGATTTTGTGATGACTGATTTCCTGTCCTTAAACTATGATTTTGTAGCTTTAAAATTAAACAAAAGTCCACAGCTATCACCTTGAGGACCTTCTTACAGGGTACTTTTCTGACAAATGTACCTTTGGGTACAGAAATGACACCCCTATTTCTCTGTGTACATGCTTTTATATTGTCACGCTTGGACAACTGTAACTCTCTTTTCACCTGTTTGAACCCCTTCTCAGTCTCACAACTGCAATAAATCCAAAACTCCGCAGCCAGATTATCGACTCAGTCTAGGTCTCACAACTACATCAGATATCTTTTAACACCTTACAGCTCAACCAGGCCCCTAAAATCAGCTGATCAAAAACTTTTAGTTGTTCCACCAACCAGACTGAAGACCAAAGGTGACCATGCACTTTATGGCTCCTCGTCTTTGGAACAGCTTTCCCCTCAGTGTGAGATTGGCTGACTCCACTGCAGGGCCTCGTGAAGACACGCCTTTACAAGATCGCCTACACCTGTTTTACCTTTCATTATTTTACGGTGTCATTACATAATGTATTTTATTTTCTGCCTGCTTAAGTATCAAAGCCTTAGTTTAATATTTATTTTGTATTAACATTTTAGCGCTTCTATCTTGATCTTAATTTTGTATGTTCATAGGAGTGGGGGGTACTCACTTGGGATTATGATTTTTATATTTTTGGATTATCTATGTGTGTAGCATGAAATAAATGCAAACTTTAATTTTGTTATACTACCTTTTGTTGTATGATACTTTTGTTTGATAAACTGATAAATTGGCTGCAAACATTCTCGTACCATCTATTAGCCATTGTTACTGCCCACAATATAGTAATAAATCGTTCAAACCACTCACACACTATCTGTAGGTGTGTGACATGGTGTTATATAACTGCCACCCCCACTGAAACACCTCCCTGAAGTGGCCCTATATCTTATATTGTGCTTGGAGATTTAAAATGTATATACTTTTAATGAATTAATTATTTTTTTACTTTCATTGACTTTAATTAATAGTGACAGCTGTAGAGTGACACAGCCACAAGACACACTACAGTAGGGACGAGACATGGGATGCCACTCACTCTACCAAGTGAGCTACCAGAGCACCCCATAGAAGGTGATAAACATAAACAAGATGTTAGCATTTACAAGGCAGAGACAGCGTAACAAACAGCTGAATTGTGGTAGGTATGGATTTTAAGATTTTCAGAGGGTGAAATATAAATAAGCATTAATTTTGACCTTCTTTTTCTCTTGTGAATCCCCCAATTTTCAAAGTTCAACTGCTATAGGAATAAATTAATGTTTGTAATGAACAGTACATGAACACAGCATAGTAAACAGTACATGTGTCGGTCCGTGTAAACATGTATCCTACCTGGAAAGGCTGTATCTGGAATCTGGTAGCAGGAATTTGGGAATTGGGTGGCATACCTTATCCCTTCCCATCCCTCTGCTGGCTCTGGAGCTCTGAATCTCAGTTTACCCAGGGGTGGTTTTCCATAAGGAATTCCAAGAAATGCTCTAATATCACCACCCAACACTGAAAGCAACTTCCCTTGAACTTTCCCTTGCTTAGTATTTATTACAAGGTCATCTTGGTTGGCAGGTGATGCACTCAGGAAGTGAGGCAACAGAAGAAGAAAGGCGAAATGTGTACATTGAGAAAGTGTCGCCATAGAAAATCCTGGGGGGAAATAAAGAATGCATACATTAACAACACATTATGAATCTTTATATATTAAAATGTAGCCTATTTTATTAAAATTATTACATGAATAACTAATAATAAAATGCATGCTATGTCTCATGTACCAGCACACCACACTTGACCTTAACTTTACTTTATCACAGAGATGTTCTTCCTTTGTACACCAATTTTGCATTTTAAAGTACAGATGCGGTACTTAAACATTTCCATAAGGGCCATACAGTAAAGAAACTGGCAGTAAACCAGCTGGCACTGATTTCCTGGTTTCAACCCACGCCGCTGGTTAAGCAAAGTATAGATCAAAGGTCCAGTTCCTAGAATAATACAATATAATGCTACAGAGCGTCTGATGTGTGTGTGTGTGTGTGGCGCTGGATGTGGGTGTGTGTGTGTGTTGGTTGTTGAGGAGAGAGAAAAGAGAGAGAGATTGGAGAAGAAGAGAGAGAGAGAGAGAAAGGAGAGTTGGTCATTTCCGCCGCAAGGGTGTTACTTTAGAAGCAGCTTATTATAATACTCAGATATTTGGAAACAATAAGGCCGTCAGTGAATATGAAGACGCAAGTAACTGCGTGCGCGCAGCTGACTTGTGGAGCCGCTTTAGTTTCAAAAGACACAGACTGAACAAATAGCAAGCTTGTGGAGTGAAAGCCGCGCACAGCTGGGTTCAATAAGGAGACGCACGCTTTGGAGAGAGACGCGCTCACTCAGAGAGCCATACGAACGATTTAAAAAAAAATACATATCATGGCAGTGAATCTACCTATGCTAATTTATGTAAAGCCTTAGTGAAGTCTTACCTTGTCAGTTAGCAGTTTGTATGTCTGGCTGGAGTGAACGTGGACAGAGCACTGATGGGGTGAAGAAGGCGTGGACAGGATTCCTCTGTTCAGCGTCTGCTGGGCTGGCCCTGTCCAACCAAATTACCCGAAATAACAATACATTCATTAATTATTAATAAATCAATTAATTATTAATACATCAATTCATTTGTATTATTATTATTATTATTATGGTAGTTATGTATTATTATTATTGTTATTGTTATTGTTATTATTATGTATTGATTATCAATGGCCTTTTTTGGTCGTGAGTACAGGTATTTATGTTCTTTAATTCTCTATAGTTTGGTAAGTGATGTTGTGTTCATTAGTTGACTTGCCAGCAACCTCCAACAGGTGGCTGTGTCTATAAATAGCTACTATGTATCCCCTTTCATCTCTTCTTAGGGGTTTGTGTGCCCAACAGGGGCGGAGTTGCCTTCTAGGTCTCCAGTCCCGAAAAAGCCATGGATCTTTTAGGTTTTTTAAATAACTACTTATAAAGTTTACTAATAAACTTTATGTCCGCAAAAAAAAAAAAAAAAAATGCTGGTATTAAGTTACAAAAAACAAATGTTCCTACTGCTGCAGCGTCATATTTAAATTTTTTTAAATGTGAAAAAAGAGGTTGACTTTTATTTTGAAGTAAGCTAGTTTCACGGGATGCAATGTAAAAATATAGTTCAGTTAGCTTGACACCTCAACAAAAATGCGTCTATAAAACAGGACAACTATCATTTTCTGCATTTTTGACAGCGGTTCAGTTTGAAATACTGCAACCAGAAGGAGCAGCCACGGTAGATGAAGAGCTGCAGGCGACACACTGCAGCTGCACCTCCAAAGCAAGGTCATGTTAAACAAACTGCTTTCAATTTCACTGTTCACAGATTCATCCCATGTGCACCATTAAATCAGATCGGGCTTCCTCACAGAAAGATGGAAAAAGGCCAATCATTTCCTACAGTAGTTTGTTTTGCTGCCTCCAGTATTCTGGGACCTGTACTGACCAGGTGTCAATACAAATATAATTTAATCATTAAATTTAAATTTAATTAATATTTCCTGCCAATCAGGACCAAATTCTGCAATTTTTTTGTTTGCAGAATTACAGATTTTAACCATCACTCCACAGTGAGCTGCCTCCTTGGTGGAGCTAACATGACATTTATTTTGATCCGAGTCAGTGTATATAGCTGTCAAATATGACTAAAGTTTAGTACAAATTTAGAAACAATGATCATGTCCTCTGTTTAGGTTTCATGGAGATGGGTTCAAGGATCAGGGACCAGGGTTAGTTAGATAATGGATTATTTTGACCTTTGATAGTCCAAATTTAGATGCTGTAGAACTCAGCAGCATTAAGGCTGTTTTGGAAAATTACCAGCATGCATTTGACAGTCTATGAAGGACACAAACAATAGCAAATGACAGACAAATGTCAAAAAAACATTTAACATTTAATATTCATATATTGTATTAAATATTAAATAGTAAATATTTGTACAAATGTTTAACATTTCCATATGAGCCATACATTAAAGAAACTTATAGTTAACTAACTGGCACAGGTTTCTTGCCTTCAAGCCACACCACACACAACATATTATTACTATAAGACTAATAATAATAATAATAGAAGAAGAACAACAACAACAACAATATCAAAATAACTAAAATCACCATGCACCATACATTTATTATTTAATAATTTATTATTTAATAATTTATTATTATTATTATTATTATTATTATTTATTATTATTATTATAGTATTAATATGTTGTTGTTGTTTATTTAGACGGTATTGATATATTCAGCACTAACTGGAAAACACTATAGACAGGTCAGTCTGTCAGATGCAATGTCTTGATCCTTTACTTCCTTTTGTAAAAATAATACATTATAAGTAAATATTCTGTATTCAAAATTCTACATACACAAGTAAAAATATGCAAGTAGTGTCAGCAAAATTAAAACAATCAAAAGTAAAAGTTCTGCAGAAAAATGGCCTGAGACTAAAATATAACTGGATGTAATTATATTAGAATAGTAAAACTGAATCAATCCGTATATAAGCAGGATAGGATTGTACTGTGGGACAGGATTGTCTGATTGTTGACTGTGGTCAAGGTGGAACTAGTTTTAATTACTTTATTAAAAGTGTAGCCTAGTGGGTCACCCGGGTAGCTCACCTGGTAGAGCTGCATGTCATCCCCTCTCTCTCTGCCCTCTTTTCCTGTTTATCCTCAGCTGTCACTATCAATTAATAATAGGCAATAAGAGGGACTATAGCATTCAGCTTTATGGTCTCTTGAATCTTATTCTAATTAAAAGCAGTTTTTCCCAGTTTAGTATTAACTTGAGTGATCTCAAGAAATAACCAATCCTGAGATCTTGTCTGATAGTAATTTGAGTGCCATATAATGAGGGATGACAGGTAATTAGGTAGCTTTTTGTAACCTTGCTTTTTAAACATTCAGAAGCAAATGTTGTTTTCTCTTAGTGGCCAGGGTCAACAACCCTACTGCCTGATAAGGAATACAGTGGTGTGTTCTAAAATTATGAAGTGCTTAATGATTAACAGTATCAAGCTGTTTCAAATTGGAGCATGCATATAGTGTCAACATAGTCGAGTACTGTACAAACAGCTTTCTACTTGCATTCAAAAATCGTGATCTATTTCTAAAAAAGAACCCAAGTTCCATCCTTAACTTCTTAGCTTGATAATCAACATGCATTTTTAAGGATAGGTTTTCATAAATATATACCCGAAGGTACTTGTAGAAGAACCATCCAAAATTGAAATATTGATGTCACTTTCTTCCAAGGAGCGGGATCTAGAGAACTGAGATCTAGAGAACTGAATATATTTGGTTCTTGCTCCATTTAAAACAAGTTTAAGATCTAAGTGCTGGATTGAGTCAAAAGCTGCCTGTAAAATAGATAATGCTCCTCCCGATGTTTATGTAGATGAATGAAGCATATTATCATAAGCACCTTACATCCATTATCAAAAGAGATACTATTATTAATTTACAAAGTAAGAAGTAAAGGACCTGTAATTGAACCCTGTGGTACACCTTTAATGACATTCAGAAAGGTGGATTGAGTGGTAGAGATAGCTTGTAAACCACTGGCACCTGTACTGGTACAAGCCAACAGAGGCAAGTCTATCTACTAAAAGTGAATGATCAACTGTATCAAAAACTTTAGACAGCTCAGTGAATAAATCAGTGTGTGTGTGTGTGTGTGCATGTGTGTGTGTATGAAATTAACTAAATTTTTCAGAGGAAAAACAAATTTGAGCGGAACAAAAGGGTTAAAAGTAACTAATACCTTTTAGATAAATGTGCTGGAGGACAAGGTTCAATATTTCTCTCTGGAATATATTACAGTAGAAGTATAAGTGAAAAGAAGAAGAAATACCTCAAAATTATACTTCAGTGCAGTATTTCAGTAAAATGTGTAGTTACCAGCACCAACAATGAATCGTTGAGGGTTCACAGCCTCTCAGCAGGATACAGTGATTATGTTCTGGTCATCAGTCCACAATGAACATTATATTGAGTTGAAAACAGGGCTGCATTTTGCATCAAACACAGTGATGGGTTGATTTAGCACAAAGACACGCTTTTGTTTGCACGTCCCACATTACATTTTGAAGGAAACATAATGCCTTCAGAAATATAAGGAGAAAAATAAGTTTTTAACATATGTGCTATAGTTATGACATGTTCATTGAACATATTTGCAAAAGGTTTCGTTCAGGAGAGACTCAACTGAAAGACATGTTTAAGACTAAAATTAATTTATTGACACAGTGCAGAGAGGGAGGTTAAAGGGGAAGTGGTTATCCCATTGGGATGTCAAATTTTAAGGGAGTATAGTGATCCCATGAGCAGTACCTGTAACCCAACCTCCTCCCTTTGACTTTTGGTCACTATATAAAAAAGCACTTCATCCGTTAAAAAAAATGCTGAACACACAAAATACAAATTACATTTCTTGCCAATGTATCTATCATACTCTCTATCTTTCTCTTCTTAATTGTGGTGTGATGAGAACAGTTCTGGCTGCAAGGATCATGTTTGGCAATACTCATTCAGGGTTGACTTAATGGAACCTACTAATAATGAATTAGAGTGTTTTTCTATTATCATTGAGTTGTATTGTAATAGTGGAAATATATCTATAACCTGAAAATTGCCTGGTACCAAGCATAACGCCAAGGGAAATCCTGGCTTAGTCATCATCATATATTTTCTTTTATGACCTCAATGGAAATGGAAGCTGTTTTTCCATGATCACACAGAGTCTTGTGTCCCCTCATTATACCACTTCCTGTTTCTGTCCCTTGTTTTTTTTTCTCAAACTAATGTGTGCTTATTCTGTCTGCGGCTTTTTTGTCATCTTTGCTTTGCTTTCCTTTGCCACTTATCTGCAGGCCAAAGCTGGAGAGAAAAGTAAATTCCTCTTTGGAATTTTTAGTGCCATGTGAGTGTGTTTGGGTTTGTGTTGTGCTGGCTCTGTGCTTGTGTGTTTGTGTGTAAGGGACTATGTAGCCTATGTGTGCTTGTTCATGGATGCATACATGTGTGAGAAAGCCCTTTAAGTATATGTGTGTTTGTGCACTTCTGGGTGTATTCATGTTATTTATATTAGTTGGTACGGTTGTATATTGTCTACAGCCTTACTGGGATTCAGATGCAGTGCCTTGGTACAACACATACAGACACACTCAGGTACACAGGCCTGAGTCTGTATTTTCAGGTGTACACAGACATAGACATAATGGATCCCTGTGTAACTGAAGCAACTGAGACCCAGATCAACCTGGGATTTCTCATTAAAATCTACATTTCTCATTAAAATCTACACCCATTTACTCTCTCTCATGTGTCTTCTTCTGTGTGTATGCATGCTGATGACTATCATATCTAATGAAACAAAGCCACCTTCGCCAAAACATTTTGGTTAAAGTTACCACAACTGCAGGAGTAGCTGTGACATGTCTCAAGTACAACCTTAAATTGCAGTTAATGTAGTAATAAAACTGGACAAACTGTTCACACTGCAGCTTCTCCAATTATTTTTCTTCAGTGGTG